TCATTCACTCAATCCATTCTTTCTGGCTTCGTTGTTCTCATTCTAAAAACCAGCACATCTTATTCGTCCTCCATGTGACACACCCACACTGACAGCATCCTCTGTTTTTCATGTGTTGTTTGGCCAAGTTACCACCAGAGATGGTTCGACTCAGGCGTTGCCATGGAAACCAAACCGTGCCTGTTCTCAAATAGCAGCAGCAGACGGGACGAGGTATTTGCATGAAATCCCAGAGAATCTGTGGCACCGGGGTTCTCTCTTCCTGGATTTCATGAAGACATTTGGCATTTTGTGTAATTTCAGGTTAAAAGGAATCTTAATTAGTCACTCATTTATCAGAAATGATCCACCGATTTGAAATATGGCATGTGAGAATATATTGCACAGTATCTTAATATTAAGGTTTCCATCATGTTTTTCTAAGCATCGCCTATCTTTGTGTGGGCCGAGATCGTTTGCTCATGTCTTAAAAAAAAATTACAAGATCAATTTTTTTATAAGATTACAGGTATGTGAAGTGATTGCTTGCCGTAGATACCTAGATACATGCCACACAGGGGAAAGATTTGTCAGAATAAGAGGCGGACCCTCAGAATCACACGTTGACCTATTTTTTTGCCTCTTTTTATTTCATTCAAAATTTATAAAATAAACACAAGCAAATACAATAAATAAACATACTGAAAACAAAAACATTTCAATGAAAAGGAGCAGATAGAAGAAAATTCTTATTTCTGCCCCTTTTCACAAAAGAAAATTATCTGTAAAACATACACGATATAACCTCAGTCCCTTTCTAATTTTTATATATAATCATTGAATTTTTCATTTACCTTTTCATAATTACTTAAAACATTTGATTTTATGCATCTTTTAAATATAGCAAGTGAGTTTGACTCTTTAATTTCTCTGTTAAGGGCGTTCCACAATCTGACACCATTTACAGAAATATTACATTCCTTCATTTTGGTTCTGAATTTAGTTTTTTTTTAAAGACATCAGTCCCTTTTAACATGTACACACTTACTCTCTTTTGAAACTTTTTCTGAATATTAGTTGGTAAATTACTCGTATTCGCTCCGTACATTATTTGCAATATTTTCCACTCGTCCTATTCAGGAAATTTCAGTATTTTATATGCATGTCGATGTTTATGTTTATGTGTTTAGCAGACACTTTTGTCCAAAGCGACTTACAAGTGATAATCGGCATGTTGCCCTTGAGGCTAACAACAACAATAACAACAAAAACTTGACATCAATCACGGAGAGGAGGGAACAAGGAGTGGACAGTAGAGAGGGGGGACGGGTGCAGGGAGGGTGCTAGTTTAGAAGATGCTCTCTGAAGAGCAGGGTCTTCAGGAGTCTCTTGAAAATTGAAAAGGAAGCCCCTGTTCTGGTAGTGCTTGGGAGGTCATTCCACATTTGTGGAACGATGCATGAGAAGAGTCTGGATTGTCCTGAGCGTGGTGTAGGCACCGCTAGCCGACGATCCTGTGATGACCGGAGCGGCCGGGCCGAGACGTAAGACTTTGCAAGAGGATTCAGGTAGATGGGAGCCGTACCGTCTCGGACTTTGTATGCTAGTGTTAGCTATTTGAATTTGATGCGTGCTGCCAGCGGTAGCCAGTGGAGCTCAACAGACAGAGGGGTGACGTGTGCTCTTTTTGTCTGATTGAAGACCAGACGCGCCGCTGCATTCTGGACCATTTGAAGAGGTCTCACAGTACAGCCTGGAAGACCAGTTAGAAGGGTGTTGCAGTAGTCGAGGCGGGAGATTACAGTAGATTGCACCAGGAGCTGGGTGGCATGTTGTGTTAGGTATGGTTTGATCTTTCATATGTTATAGAGCTCCGGGAGTTGACGTCACGTTTCCCGGCATGCAACAGTTCAAATCGAAACGGCGCCATTAGGCAGGCAGAAGCCGGCAGCTGGACTGTTTGTTATTGTCAGAAAACTAAACGGGAAATATGGTAGATTCCTGTTGTGACCCAGGATGCAGAACAGACACGGACGACATAAGCAATGAGCCATCTACGGGATTCCCCAAGATCCGGAGCGCCGCAAACGTTGGATCATTGTAATAAAAGGCGTTAGTGACCGGGCTAAAATGAAGCTGTGGGATCCCGAGAGTAAAGGTTTTCACTTATGCAGCGACCGCTTCATATCAGGTACTTAAAACAACGTTTCCTCACCTGTGTATGGTATTTATTTTAAATGCTTTTATTACGATTCTTAGTGGGCTTCCTAAACTTATTTTGGCGGGGCTTTTTCTGTCTTATTACTCACAGCAACAAGTAAACGTCACGTAAAACGTTGCCTCGTGAGTTCTGCGTGCTGCCGTTTACGTGTTTTATGATCACAGCAATTAACCGGCTAAGCTGTATTTAATTTTTAAGCAATGGTTGATCAATTGTCAGATCACACATAAAAAGCACTTTGGATTGCTATTATCTGTCTCACCGAGACAGATCTCAGACAGATCCTGAGACGCTCCTGCCTGACAGATTTATTTTATTCACGGAAAAAATCAAACTAGTGATTTCTCTTGGCGTTCAGTTTATACATTCAAACAGCACAGCACTCTATTTAAACTACTTACGTGTAAATCTGTTATTTGTCCATCCATCCATCCATTTTCATTCGTGTATCCGGAGTCGGGTTGCGGAGGCATGTAGCGTCGAGAAGCCCTGACTTCCCTCTCCCCAGCCGCCGGAGCCAGCTCCTCCGGGTAAATCCCAAGGGGTTCCCCGGCCAGGTCCAGTAAGAAGTCCGCTCCGACAGCTTCTGGTGTCGGAGTGGCCAGTAGCGTCGAGAGTCCCAGACCTCTCCCCAGCTCCTCCGGCCGGGGGAATCCCAAGGGGTTCCCCGGCCAGGTCCGGTAAGAAGTCCGCTCCGACAGCTTCTGGCATTTTTAAAAACTATCCCAGGGGCACGGTAAGGGTCGGAGATGTTTAGACTATTTAATTTCTGACTATATAAAACAATTTCTTCGGTTGTAAAGTGTGAAGTAAACTCCGACGAAGTAAAATCCAAGCGGATCCCGTTCACGTTCATGTTTACATCCGTGTTTGTTTACCTTTTTTTTCCTGCCAAAATGGCGTCTACTAACTGAGAGTCACGTGGGGTCCGGAGCTCTATGCAGCGCAAAGTTGCATGAACGAGCAACAGAGGCAACATGATCTTTAAAGGTCAGGTGTTCATCAATCACAACACCCAGATTTCGAACTGCCTTTGAAGGAGCCAGAGATAGGAAGTCATTTTGGATTGAGATATTGTGCTGTATCGATGGTTTTGCTGGGATGACAAGTAGTTCAGTTTTAGAGAGGTTGAGTTGGAGATGGTGGGATTTGATCCATTTTGATATGTCAGAGAGACAGTTTGATATTCGTGCAGAGACAGTGTGGTCATCCGGTGGAAATGACAGATAGAGCTGGGTGTCGTCTGCATAGCAGTGGTAGGAGACGCCATGTGATTGAATGATCTCACCCAGTGAGGTGGTGTATATGGCAAAGAGAAGAGGTTCTAGTACAGAGCCCTGGGGGACTCCTGTGGCAAGATGGTGCAAGGTAGAGGATGTCCAAGCCAAGATACACTGAATGATCGTCCTGTGAGGTACGATTCAAACAAGGCGTGTGCTTTCTATGTGATGCCCATGCTAGAGAGTGTGGACAAAAGGAAGCCATGGTTGACAGTGTCAAACGCAGCTGATAAGTCGAGCAGGATGAGCACTGAGGATTTGCCTGTCGCTCTAGCTTCTTATAAGGATTCAGTCACTGCTAACAGAGCAGTTTCAGTGTAGTGGCCCTTTTTGAACCCACATTGGTAAAGGTCAAGCAGACAATTTTGTGAGAGGTATGCTGTGATCTGCTTGAAAGCCACCTTTTCAATGATTTTGGACAGAAAAGGGAGGAGAGAGATAGGTCGGTAGTTCTCCACATGATTTGGAGGACGAGATGGTTTTTTTCAGCAGCAGTTTAACCTGAGCATGCTTGAGAGAGGTGGGAAATGTACCGGATGTCAGTGAAGCGTTGATCACGTGTGACTGCTGCGGCTACTGTAGGAGCAATAGCTTGGAGCAGCTTAGTCAGAATGGGGTCAAGTGGGCATGTAGTAGGGCGGCTGCACGTCAGAAGTTTGGACACAGTTCTCAGTGACAGGGGAAAAAGAGGAAAATGAAGCAGTAGGGCTTGAGATGGTTGGGCTAGAAGCAGTTTGTGGTAGCGAATGTTCAGGAGTGGCCAGTTGAGTAAACTGTTTGCTTGTCTTTTTTGTCAGTGAAGAATGAGGCAAAGGTGTCAGCTGATAGATTGTTGGTAGGAGATGGAGACGGAGGGTTGAGCAGAGTTTTGAATGTCGAAAATAGTTTCTGAGAGTCAGTAGAGCTGAGAATTATGTCAGTGTAGAAAGCTTTCTTTGCATCAGTGATGCTGGCAGAGAATGAGGACAGTAATTAAAGAAATTTCACTTGATCACCAGGATCTTTTGTTTTGCACCATTTCCGTTCCGCAGCTCTAAGATTGGTGTGTAGAGACCAGAATAATGCATTACAGTGATCTCTATAGTTACTGTTATTAATGATCCTCAATGCTCTTTTTTTTGTAAAATGAACAAAGGTGGAGAAAAAGTTTTGCATGCGGCTCCCCAAATTTCTTAACAATAAATTAAATGTGGTTCAATCAGGGAGTGATACAACTTTAATAACCCAGATCAGCTTAGTAGAAACATGACTCTATATAACACCGCTATGGCTTTGGCAACTTTCCCTTTTATATAACTTCTATGTGATTTCCAAGTGAGACTCTCACCAAAAATGACTCCCAAGAAATTTGGTTTCTTTTACTCTTTGAATTTCCATTCCATCTATCGTTAAAGATCCATCACAGCTTCTTTTTAAACAGTATAAAGTTTGTTTTGTTCAGGTTCAACTCATTTAACTCATTTCTTTCCCCTCCTTATTCACCTGCAGTCGTGTGTTGACGGTGCCCTCCTGTCTTGCAGGGGCGTGGTGCGAGTTGATGTTAATCTGCAGGATGTTGATATCGACCAGTGCTCCACCGATGGCTGGTTTGCAGGAACCCATCGATGCAACCTGACCACCATGGAGGTGAGTGCGCCGGACATGTGACTCAGACAGAGATAGATCTTTTCTGAAAAAGCGAACAGTAATGGACACCCGTTCAGTCACACCACCTCTCTTTGCTGCCTCCAGCTGAAAGGCGAAGCGGTAAGACTGGGTGACTTGTGACAAAACGGGTCTGAATCTCATCTCAGAGCAGCAGAACACAAACACTGCGCTTGTCTTCCAAATTTTTAAACTTTATTGCAACCTTGCTGCAAAAATATGACAGTTCTAATAACAGAGTCCTTCAAAACTAAAGAGTTAGAGCAAAGAAGAATGCTTTGGTCCCACGTGAAGGCAGCTGCACCTCGTCACAGTTATTACCTCTACCAAGGCTGCTTGGTCATGAAGTATGATGTTTGTCTGTCGACACTGAATGCTTCGCTTTGCGTGAAACTCGAGTTGACAGATGGGGCCAGGGAATGTTGTCCTCATTAGGAAACAGACAGAGGTAAACAGTGCAGACTCTTGAGTCACAGAGGGGCGTTTCCAGGGTCAAGAAGCTGATTTTAGTTATAAATTAAGATGGAAGGTTAGAGGGAATATAATCTGGTGGGGGAAATAACCAGTACTTTTTCTTCTGAATACAAATAATAGGTTATAACATGTTAATATGCTTTTACTCATCTTGGCGTGAAACTTCACAATTCTGAGAAATGAAATGTTGAGTTTACTTAGCCAAGTTATGCCCACTGATTCCAATAAACATAGTTCTTAAATGTAAAGACTAATTAAATGTAATTTTAACATCACCTATAACGATGTTTGTTGCCTTTTACATTTACGCTTACCAGGTTTAGTAGAACCAGGTCACGTAAATCCTTTACAATGTTCATTACGTCCTCTTTTTTAAATATTAAACGAGGTTCTTTTCGTTTCGAACATGAAGGTGTTTCGAGTTACCTTGTCATGTTTCGACCATCGTCTGCGGTCTTCATCAGTAGTATCACAGGTGTTTGTGTGACGCGTCTTTATCAGCTGTTCTTCTGGTGGGCATGACCAACTCGGATCTGTCAGATCCGCCGGGTCGGTCACGCCCACCTCCGCTGTCTGGTCTTTGGAGAAGGGAACCACAGGTGAGAGACAGCTGATAGGCCCCCTCGTCTCTGTTCATGTTCCAATGCTCACGTTTCCTTATTTCTATTGCCTCCCTGACCCAACGCTTGAACCGGTTGTTCTCCGTTCATGGGCCATACAAAAAGGAAACAACAAGTTAAAGAAAATCAAAAAAACAGAGAGACCAAAAAAAGAAAACAAAAACAAAGACCAGACCACACAGACACCATCACACTTCCATATTTCCGGGGAGTCACAGAACGTATACAAATGGCCACGACAAAACAACAAATCAACACAACCGTCAAACCTCACATGAAACTCAGACAGCTACCAGTACACCCCAAGGACAAAATAGAACCAGACAAGAAATGCAATGTAATCTACGAAATACCCTGCATGTCGTGCAATAGAACATGCATAGGGGAAACCGGCAGAACACATGACATCAGAAGAAAAGAGCACCAGAAGGAATGTGAGAAGGAAACAAGAGACTCACAAGGACAACAAAGAAAAAAGTACAGGAGCAAACCCTCAAGTCAGCCATCTCAGATCATTGCAAACGAAATAATCACATCATGGACCGGGATCAAGGAAACATGATCAACACGGAGAACAACCGGTTCAAGCGTTGAGTCAGGGAGGCAATGGAAATAAGGAAACGTGAGCATTGGAACATGAACAGAGACGAGGGGGCTTATCAGCTGTCTCTCACCTGTGGTTCCCTCCTCCAAAGACCAGACAGTGGAGGTGGGCGTGACCGACCCGGCGGATCTGACAGATCCGGGTTGGTCGTGCCCACCAGAAGAACAGCTGATAAAGACGCGTCACACAAACACCTGTGATACTACTGATGAAGATCGCAGACGACGGTCGAAACATGACAAGGTGACTCGAAACACCTTCACATCCGAAACGAAAAGAACCTCGTTTAATATTAATTATGTAAATTCAACATTTTATTTCTTACAGCGTAATAGCCTCTTGTGAGAGTACACGCCCATTTACTTTATTTTTTTTTTGTTTGTCCTTATAACTCAAACGGTCATCTTAACCAAACCTGACACACAAATTAACAGACTTCTAAACGTTTTGATTAAAACATGGACCAAAAAAGTACAATGGTAATTTTTAAGCTGTTTATAATGAATTTAGAAGCTTACGTATGTCAATTGTGACGACACAGCCATTTTCATTCTATAAAAATGTAAAAGAGGTTGCTACAAGTTTGCTTGGTCCTAATTTTGGGTTTAAAGCATCCAGATGAGGATTAGGATTTGTGCCTTCATCAAAAAGCTGCCATATTCTGCACGACACATGTCTGCTGCCCTCTGGTGGAGAACGTAGATCTAGTAAGGGCAGATTTTGTTCACGATTGATGCTGGGATGGAATATTGGTGAAATTAAAGGCTGCAGAAAATAACATTTAGCACATTTATATATATATATATATATATATATATATATATATATATATATATATATATATATATATATAAATGTGCTAAATGTTATTTCCTGCTTAATAACATTAGTTGAATATTTAACACCTCAAAATAGACATTTTATTATTTATGTGGTAAGAAAATTCCCTAAAACTAACCCCTTTAACATTCCAGAAATAGGTCACTGTTTTTTTTATTTCCAAGCTGCTTCCGGTTGAGGTAAACCGATTCTGCTTTTCCTCCTGTGTCAGCTTCTTTAGGAACGATGGATTTTAACGACATGCTGTAGATCAAACTGCTTCATAATGCATGTGATGTAATGTGTTTCAGTGAGCCTCTTTTAATAATTAATCACTCTCTTTGTCTGAGTACTTCCACCTCTGCCTGGATGGTCAATGCAAGCGACTTTTGGCCGTGTGTGTGTGTGTGTGTGTGTGTGTGTGTGAGTGAGAGAGAGAGAGACTTTCTAAGATGAAGACACAAAGCTAATGGCCTTAATTGTTGCTGATCTCTGTGTCCCGTCGGTTTGCTCTAATGATAAAAGTCATAACCCGCTGCAGGATATGATTCATCTTATGACAGGTTTATAACACCGGCGAGCTCTTTATTATCATGTCCGTTAACAACAGAGGAAAACACGAGGACGCACCACCTCTTTATCTCTACTGAGATCATTTTTAAATAGGTAATAAACTACACATGTTGCTGTAAGTTACTGTGAGTCAGGGGTTCTCAAAAGTTCAAATGCAAAGGTCTAAATCTGACGTCTAATTATGGAGGATGAACTTTTACTAACAACAAATCCTTTTTATCAAGTTTGATTACAGTAAAGGAAAATATAAATGCTTGTGTTTGTTTGCTTGTGGATCAAAGAAGCTCCAATGTTTGACAGTGAAGTATATTGTGCTCTGTAGATTTATAAGAAACATAAACTTGATTAAGTAATTAATTTTCATGCCTCAACAATTAAAGTATCTTTGTTTTTGTACAGCTTATGAAATAAACTGTATTTAGAGATCAACAAGATAAAAGTTACAGATACAAGGCCTCATGGAGAGAATGCTTGGTTTTATTTCTGTAATTAAAACAAAAACTCTGTCTATTTTTCTGTGTTTATCTAATTATTTTATAATTTACCCACATTTCCATTTAAAATGTGCCTTTTTAATCTAGTGGCTATATAAAATGTCCAAAGTTCAGTTGAAAAAAAATGGAAAATGTAAAATATGAGTAGAAATGTTTACATTTAATAATAATAATAATAATAATAATAATAATAATAATAATAATAATAATAATAATAATAATAATAATAATAATAATAATAATGTTTTAAATAATGTATGTATTGTTTAATGTTTCCATAGTAAATATACAAAAACATTTTTTAAGTATTTTATGCTTTCTCCAGCAGAACGATTCACTTGACAGAATTCTTTGGTGCAGTTTTGGCCAGAATACCCACATTGTTCAGTTTGCTTCCCCATCAAAGTTCCATCATCATCTGCGACCCTTTCATCGCGTCCATTATTGTTCCTTTTTACACTATAAATGGTTAGAGTGCTGCCGTTCCTGCAGTCGAATTCGACAAAACGCTGCTGTTTCCAGCAGGCTGGCTTTCAGGCCTCCCCTCTGCTGCACAAGCTGCTATTTGAGCAGCCAAGCATGCAGGCGGCCCAGACTCGGACAGAGGCAGATGCTGTGGATGACTGAACCGTCGTCAGAGCAAACAAAGGCAACATTCAACAAGGCTCAGGCCAGTCATGGGAAAGAGAAAGACAGCACGGTCCAAAATGGGGCTTTTAGGCAGTGAGTGGAATTTAAAGTATCAGCTTTTTTAAACTTTAAAGGGATATTCCACCCAAAATTGAAAATTTGTCTGACATTTCTCAGCGTTAGATAAGTGGGATAAAACAATTTTTGGTGCAATGTCCCTTTAAGCTAGATCTTTAACGTTGATCTCAGTGGTTGTTGAGTTAGAACATTGTCTAGTTTCATATCTGACACCACTCTGCCTCTGATGACCAAACACTGCATTTGATGGTTTTGTGGAGTGGATAGGCGGGGTGTTGGCTGTTAGCTGTATTACTACCAGTAAGTATTTTCAGTTTGCTGATCATTTCGAGTAGTTCGTCTACAAAACGCACGAAGAAAAATAAGAAGTTTGCTTTTCTGTGTGGCATCTGTCAGGTTTGGTGTGCCGAACTGGAGTGTAGCAGAGGTAATGTAACGTGGCTGTGTGACCCAGACGCGGAGAGGCTGGCGTTTGGTCCGAACAGAACACGCAGCTTGCTCTAAGGACGGCAGTACGGCGCACATGAGATAATGAGGCTGTACTGCGGTTCCGTTTGGTAGGGTGCTGTCGTGGTGGAGGTTAGACAGCGTGGAAAGATCACTTTCATGGATTGGTTTTGGGTTAGATTTGGATCGGTTCGGTTTGGCGTCTGTCATGAGATGATGACTGAATGACAGCTCAGCGGTGAC